TGTGCGGGGAGAAGGGTGCAACAATGAATGAATAGAATTCCAAAATCTCTGTAGATGTTCATTGAAATGAAAAATAAACAACCTAAATTAAAAAAAGAAAAAGGGAAAAAAAAGATCTGGGGCAACTTTGAGAGTAATACCAATACATCAGCAGCGTGGTTGGTGGTGTTTGTACGAAATCCTGAGGCTTTATCTAAATCTTTCCCTTGTATTGTGATTTTTACTTAGATGTGTTGTACTAAGTGAAACTTGTTAAATATATCTTCCTTTTAAAAACTGAAAAAAAAACCAAAACAAAAACCTTGTACTTGCAGTCAGCGCAGGGCACCCTGCACTGATTGCACTGGATCTGGCTTCCACAGGTGCCCTCACAGAAACCCACTCCACATTCCTTGCTGCTGGGGGTACAGGTTCCCCAGGCCCACTCCACGCATTCACTTCCCGGGCTGCCCTTCTTTTTCTTTCTTTTTGGCTGCCAGTGCTGCTTTGCTCCCTCCTGTGCCCAGCCCCAAATTCCAGCTTCTTAAATGATTTGCTCATCATACATACTGAATAGGTATGAAGAAGGAATATAATGCTGATATACACCTTTCTTGATTTTAAACCATGCAGTGTTCCCTTACACTGTTTGGAGAGATATAAAAAGAATTATTTTTTTTTAAAGAGAATGGAGTTGTGCTGCTTATCCACACAAAAGCTTTCAGTTCTTCAGTGATTTAGTCCATCAGTGGCTCCACAGGAGAAAGATGGGTGATCTCCTCTTGTGATTTACAATAGACTCAGCAACCTGATTCACTATGGGAGAGAAGAGTCCTAACAGACCCAGTGGCAGTGACCTTTGTATTTTCTTTTTTCCACATCATCCAGTTTTATGCAATTTTTTTTCAGTCTATCAAAAAACCTAAAAATGTCCACAGCAACTCATTCTCCTTTAGGAGATTATTTTAAGGAAAACTATGTAGAGGGAAGGGCAGGAATGAGAAAGAGACAAACAGACATACTGTTGTTCTTCTGTGGCACTGAGTTGACTGTGACCCTATGCACAATAGCTCTGAAGTCTGCCCTGCATGAGCCAGTCAAACTGACTCCAACACACCTACCCCTATTGCCCCAGTTACTGTATTCAATCCATCTCATCCTGGGTTTTCCTCTCCTGCGCTGTCCCTCCACCCTTCCAAGCATGACATCCTTCTCCAGGGACTAGTCCCTCCTGGCAACATGTCCAGAGTATGTGAGATGGAGCTTCAAAACCCTAGCCTCTAAGGAGAAACTTGGTTTCACCCTCTCCAAGAGAGGGTTTGTTTTCTTGGCAGTCCATGGTATGTTCAAGATTGTTCTCCAGCACCACAACTCAAAGGCATCAATTCTTCTTCTGTCACCCAGCTCTCTGATGCATAGCAAGTAAATGTGAAGACCATGGCTTGAATCAGGCACACCTTAGTCTCTAGACTGACATCATTGCTTCTCAGTACTTTGGAGAGGTCCATGATAGCAGATTTTTCCAGCGTGATTTGTCTTTTGATTTCCTGACAGCTGGTGCTAAGAGTGTTGATTGTGGAGTCGAGCAAGCTATACTTAACAACCTCAATCTATTCTCAATCTATCAAGATGCTGCCAACTCGCCCAGTGGTGAAAATCTTTGCCTTCTTGATTTTGAGCTTCAAACCATATTGAAGACTACAATCCTTGACCTTCTGCAGCAAGCACTTAAGGTCCTTCTCCGTTTCAGCAAGCAAGGTTGTCCTTGCCTGTGTGTGTGTGTACACCGTCAAGTCAGATCTGACTGGTACAGGAAGAAATTGCTCCTCCTTCTCCAGGAGAGCATCTGGTGGATTTCAACCGTGTACCTCTAGGATTGCAGTGCAGCTTCTTGCCACTAGGCCATCAGAGCTCCCTGCAAGGTTGTGTTATATGCATAACATAGATTGTTGATGAGTTTTCCTCCAATCCTAATGCCACATTCCTCCTTATAAAGCCCAGCCTTCCGAATAATCTGTTCTGCATATAGATTGAAAAGGTATGGAGACAGGACACATCACTGGCATACTCTTTTACAGATTTGTGAACCATCCAGTGTTTCCTTGCTCTGTTCTGAGGTCCACTTCCTGGTCCGAGTACAGGTTTTGCATGAGCACAATCAAGTATTTTAGGATTCCCACTCTAACCACAATTTTTTGTGATCCACACAGTCAAATGGCTTTGTATAATCAATGAAAAACAGGCATTCTTCTGGTACTCTTTGCTTTTAGCCAAGATCCATGTGACATTGGCGATAAGGTCTCTAGTGCCACAGCCTCTTCTAAATTCAGCTTGTATTTCTGATAGTTTTCGGTGGATGTAATATTCCAGTAATTTTTGGATAATCATCAGTAAAATCTTGCTTGCATGTAATATGGCTGATATTGTTCAATAATTTCCACACTCTGTCAGGTCACCTCTTTTTAGAATGGGAATAAATATGGATCTCTTCCAGCCACTTGGTCAGGTGGTTGTCCTCTAGATTTCTTGGCACAACCTGGTGAGCATATCCAGGGCAACATCTGTTTGTTGAAATATGTCAACTGGTATTCCATCAATTACTAAAGCCTTATTTTTTTTTTTTGCCGAGTCCTTCATAGCAGCCTATACTTCCTCCTTCATCACCACTGTCTCTTGATCATATATTGTTTCTTGAAATTCTTCTGTGTCAGGCAATTCTTTTTGGTACAGTGACTCTGCATACTTATTCCATTTTCTTTTCATGCTTCTTAGATCATTCAATATTCTGCCCATAGCATCTTTAAATATTGTAACTCACGGTTTGAATTTGTTATTTCCTTCAGCTTAAGAAATGCCGAACAAGTTCAACCATTTTTGTTTTCCAATTCCAGCTCCTTGCACATGTCATTTATAATACTTTGCTTTGTCTTCCCAAACTTCCCTTTGAAATCTTCTATTCTTGTTGTGATTTCCCCCCCCCCCATCCCCACTTTGCTTTGGTTTCTCAGTGATCTAGTGTAATATTCAGAGTTTCTTCTGAGATCCACTTTGATATTTTTTTTCTTCCTCCATCTTTGTAATGACCTTTTATATTCTTCAAAGATGATATTCTTAATATACTCTCACAGCTCATTTCATCTTCATTTATTAGTGTTCCAAGGCCTCAAACCCGTTCCTGACATGGTTTTGAAATTCAGGAAGGATAGACTCAACATCAAATTTTGATTCCTGTGAATCTGATTTAACCTCCTTTATTTTGAATGTGCATATGAATAGCTGATGGTCTGTTCTGCAATCAGCACCTGGCCTAGTTTTTTCACTGCTGATATTGAACTCCAACAATTCCTTCCACAGATGTAATAGATTTGATTTCTGTGCACACCATCAGATTAAATCCATGGGTAGAGCCTGTGCTTATGCTTTTTATAAAAGGTATTTGCATTGACTAAATCACTGATTGTGCAGAATTCTATCCCCAGCCTCATTTCTGTCACCAGGTTCATGTTTTCTGACTACTGATCCTTCTTCCTGGCTCCCAACTTTTGCATTCCAGTCATCCATTATTATTAACGCATCTTGGTTTCATGTTCAATCGATTTCTGACTCAATAGTTGGTAGAAATCATCTACTCCCTCTTTGGCCCTGGCACAAAGCACAAAGAAAATAAGACAAGATTTTTCTCTCCAGGAACTCAAGGGGTAGTTGTAAGAAATGTTTCAAGTTTAAAAGTCAACAGAAAATTTACTTTACCTCATTTGTCTCAATTCAATGCAGAAGATGTGAACCTAGAGTGATTGTTAGAAGCAAGGAAGGCAAGACTTTGTCTCACATACTTTGGACATATTATCAGGAGAGGCCAGTCTCTGGAAAAGGATATCATCTTTGGAAAAGTTGAGGGTCAGTGGGAAAGAGGAAGACACTCAATGAAATGAAGTGAAATAATGACTACAATGAGTTGAAGCACAGCAGAGATTGTGAGGCTGGCCCAGGACCAGGCAGTTTCATCCTGTTGTACACAGGATCACTATGAGTCAGAGCTAACTCAATGGCACCAAACAACAATATAGTTGCTTAATGTAGGGCTGCCATTAACACAAGAAATGCAATTAAGTGGAGCACAATACAATCAAGTATGTCTGTACTTATTTGTTTACCTACCTAGGAGGTATTTTACTGTCCTTTTCTAACAGAGGTTCTCCATTCTAACATATGAAATGGCCGAAAGGCCATTTCTTGGATTCCTCTAAGGGCAGTCCACCTGAATGCCATGCAGGGGCCTTGAATGAAGGAACTGAGGCCTTCTTAGGCAGCAGACAGGAACTGTTTCTATTTTTTACCTCAGCTAAGTGCTTAAAATATAGCAAAGGGTCGGCGTTTTCTACTTGCTCTGAGAATTAGATGAGGTAGTATTTGAGAACACTGTAAGTCACCTTGAATTCCCCATGGTGACTTAGTGATTGTCCTAGTTTTCTTCCTGTGCATTCACAAACTTCTACCTGAGTGTCATTCTACTGTATCTCCTTTCCCTTGGATCTAAACATCCAAACTGTGCAACTTACCGAGACATTTTTCTCTTTCTTCTCTTCTTTCTCTGGCTAGTCTCTGTCTCTCATCAGATTTTAAAAATCCATCCATGCCTAAAAGAAAGAAAATACAATGAGATCATGCTTCAGAGAGAAGCTGCTGTCGACTATGTTTCCAATCTACTGAGTTCTAGAGGCAGTTGGGGTAGCTGTGCTGTGGCTACCAGAGGCATGTGTCATCCACTGCCATCAATTCATCCAAAGTAGTCCCATCCATCATTTCCCATTACAGCCAGGCCCCAAGAGCCAAGTTGTAGCTGCCACACTTACCCACCAACCTGTGCAACAGTGGCCCCAACACCAGTCAGGGATGCTCAAGTCATTCCCTAAACCATTGTCATCAAGCCTGGCACTAGAGATCTGAAAATGCAATAAGTCATGGAGGGGCCTAGCAGTGTACAAAGAACTAGGTTTCCTTGGAGTCAGGTTTCAGTCCTGACATAGAAACAATTAATGAAGTAAAGGCACCAGAGTGGATACAATTTTATATACACACTGACCATTTTAATTTTTGAAAGAAGCCAACTATTGAGGGACATACAAGGGCTCTCAATTCAACACTAAGGTTCAATTTTGGTTCTGTTTATAGATTTAATAGGTATGGAGAAAGAATATAATCCTGACACATTCCTTTCCTGACTTAAAACCATACAATGTTTCCTTGCTCTGTTCAGACAATAGTCTCATGGTCTAGGTATAGGTTTCATATGAGCATGTTAAATGTTCTGGGACTTCCATTCTTCTCAGTGTTAGCCAGTTTGTTATGATGCACACAGTCAAATGTCTCTGCATAGCCAATAAAACACAAAGACATTCTTCCAGTATTCTTTGCTTTCTGCCAGGATCCATATGATATCAGCAATGATATCCTGGAGCCATCGCCTCTTATAAATCCAGCTTGAACTTCTGGCAGTTTTCTCTCAATGTACTGTTCTAGCTTTATCTGGATTATTTTCAGCAATATTTTGCTTTCATGTGTTATTAATGATATTGTTCAATAATGTCCACATTATGTTGTACCCCTTCTCCATAGCTATTCAATTTTTATGTTGAGCAAATAATTCAAGAATGAATTAGAATGAAAAAGAATGTAGCAACAAGATCAGAGAAAGACTCACCAACAACCTGAGCTATGCAGATGACACAACCTTGCTTGCTGAAACTGAGGAAGACTTGAAACTCTTACTGAAGAAGATCAAAGATTTCTTTCAATATAGATTGCATCTCAACATCAAGAAGACAAAAATATTTGCTGTTGGACCAAAAGCAACATCATAACAGATAGAAGATTGAAATTGATTATTTCATCTTACTTGTATCCACAGTCACCACTATCGTTTCCAGTAGTCAGGAGAATAGGAGACATATTGTACTGGGCAAGTCCTCTTTCATTGACCTCTCCAAATTACAGAGGAACAATGATGTGAATCTAAAGACTATGGTGTAACTAACTCAGGACATGGTCTTTTCCATTACTTGCTATGCATCTGAGAGCTGGACAGTGAATAAGGATGACAGAATTGCTGACTTAGAGCTGTAGTGTTTGAGAAGAGAACTGAATATGTCACGGACAGCCAAAAGAACAGATTTATTTTGGACAAAGTATATCCAGAATGCTCCCTGGAAGTGAAAATGACAAAGTGAAATGACATCTTACATACTTTGGACTTGATGCTAGGCAAGGTTATTCCTTGGGAAGGACATAATGCTTGGAAAGGTAGAGAATTTGATTTGTGAGAGGAAGACCTACAATGAAATGCAATGACACAGTGACTGCAGTGATGGGCTCAAATATGTCAGAGATAACAAGGATGGCACAGGATAGGACAGGATTCAGATGTGTTGTTCACAGGGTCAATATGAGTCAGACTCTACACCACAGCACCTAATAACAACAACAGTATTTTTGCTACTGGGAGCTTTGGTGGCCTGGTCCATAGGGAGTTGTGCTGCTAATCCCTTTCTGACAGATCAACTCTACCAGTGATTTCATGTGAACAAGAAGGGCAAGCTCACCGTACATAATTCACAATCTCAGAAACCCAGTAGAGGATCAGCTATGAGTAGACTTCAACTTGATGGTAATGAAATAGCACAACTCTCCCTATCTCATAAAGAAAGATATTTTTGTTACAAAGCCACCTTATTATTTTAGAATCATTAATAAGAGAGTAATATAATAAATAGCATTTAAGTATCTAAAACAAATAAGATGAAGCAATTTACAGGTTTCCATCAACCCAAATTTCCCAGCTAAGTCTCAAGGGTTTCACATTTACAACCAATACCCCTCATAATACACTAATGAATTTTAAACATTAAAGATTAAATTCTCTTATACTGTACAGCTACAGTAATCAAAATAGCCTGGCACTGGTCTCACAATATGCACATAAGCAAATAACTGAAGGTCCAGCAAGAAATCCACACATCTATGGTCAGCTGATTATTGACAAGGGTTCTAAATGTATTCAATGGAGAAGAACATCTTTAATAAATGGTCTGGTGGAAACTGGATCTTCACAAGCAGAAAAATGAAGCAGGATCTATGTCATGTTCTTATATGTCATCAAGCCACCTGCGACTCATAGGAACCCTACATACAACAGCTCTGAAGCCTGCCCTGTCCTGAGCCAGTCACACTGACTCTGACACACCTACCCCCACTGCCCCAGTTAATGTATCAATTCCATCTCATTCAAAGTCTTTCTCTCCTGCACTGTCCCTCCACCCTTCCAAGAATGATGTCCTTCTCCAAAGACCAGTATCTCCTGGCTATGCGCCCACAAAAGTATGTGAGATGGAGCTTCAAAATCCTAGCATTATTTTTATCGTAGGAGTATGCAATGAGGGTTGCAGAGTGGATTATATTTGGGGGTAGGGGGTAGGGTTTGGGGAGGTGCGGGGGGGGGATTGTGTACCAATGAGGGAGTTTTTCTTTTGCTTTTCAAGGAGAGGAGCAAATGGGGGGGAGGGGGGAGGGGTTTGTGCGGGGAGAAGGGTGCAACAATGAATGAATGGAATCCCAAAATCTCTGTAGATGTTCATTAAAATGAAAAATAAACAACCTAAATTTAAAAAAAAAGTATGAACACTCAATTATCATACTCATGAACTGGAAAAGAATTCAAAATGGTAATTTTTAGATAATAAAAATGTATCATAAAAATTGGAAATGTCATTTATAAAATTATAAAGTAGATTAATTTAAAAAAAAAAATCCTAGCCCCCAAGGAGAAACTTGGTTTATACCCTCTCCAAGACAGACCTGTTTGTTTTCTTGGCACTCCATGATATGTTCCAGACTCTTCTCCAGTACAACTCAAAGGCATCAATTCTTCTTCTATCATCCTTAGTCATTGCCCAGCTCTCTGATGCATAGCAAATAACTGTGAAGACCACAGTCTGGATCAGGCATATCTTATTCTTAGTAGACATTGGTGCTTTTCAGTACTCTGGAGAAGGCCCTGACAGCAAATTTTCCCAACGCAATTTGTCTTTTGACTTCCTGACTGCTGGTGCTAAGAGTGTTTACTGGGGAGCCGAGCAAGCTGTTAATTGTTAACAGCCCCAATTTCTTCTCCACCTATGATGGTGCTGCCAATTGCTCTATTCTGAGGACTGCTTTCTGGTCTAAGTATAGGTTTTGCACAAGCATAATCAAGGGTTCTGGGATTCCCATTCTCCTCAAGGTTAGCCACAATTTGTTGTGATCCACACAGTCAAATGCCTTTGCATAGTCAATGAAACACTGATAGACATTCTTTTGGAACTTTTTACTTTCTGCCATGATCCATCTAACACTGGTGATAAAGTCTCTAGTGCCACGACCTCTTCGAAACCTAGCTTGTATTTCTGGTAGTTCCCTGTCGATGTACTGTTCCAGTTGGTTTTGGATAATCTTCAGCAGGATTTTGCTTGTGTGTGATATTGTGATAACTGTTCAGTAATTTCCACACTCTGTTAGGTCACTTCTTTTTGGGATGGGAATAAATACGGATCTCTTCCAGTCATACCATACAGAAAAGATTTTAAAAATGAATTAAGGACTTAAATGTACAAATTAAAATCATAAAACTCTTAGTGTAGCTTTCAACAATGAATTAACTTACAACAAAAATACAAATGGAAAAGACAAAACAAATAAACAGAACTTAATAAAAATTTAAAAAATTATTCCTCAAAAGACTTTACTAAAAAGGTGAAAAGACAAGCTAGGCTAATTATAGCCAATAAATCTGACAAGAATCTAATAACCAAAATGTGTAAGACATCAACAACTTAACTAAAAGAAAAATAACTTAATCCTAAAATGAGCAAAGGACTTGAGTAGGTATTTAACCAAAAAGGACATTTAAATGGCCACCAAACACATGAAAAGATACAGCATCTATCAGAGAGATGCAAATAAAAATCACAATGAGATACCATTTCACTTGAACTGGTATGGCTAAGATTAAAATACAAAACTGAAACACCCAGAAAATTACAAATGTGGGTGGGGATGTGGGGAAACAGGAACTCCACTCTATTCCTTATAAGAATATAAAATAGTATAGTCAATGGAGGTTCATCAAAAGATTAAAAATAGAACAACCAAGTTGTTACTATTAGTGTTGCTGAGTTAGTTCTGATTTTTTGAAACCTTATGTCCAACAGAATGGAACTGCTTGGTCCAGTACCATTTTCATAATCACTTCTGTGTTTGAGTCCATTGTTATGTATTTTAAATGCCTATGGAAAGGTGTTTGTGTGGATTATAAATTATGGCTAACATTTAAAAGAACAGAATTCCAGAACACTTACTTATGTTCATATGAATTCTATACTTAGACCAAGGAGCAGCTGTCATACTCCAAGGGAACACCAAATGTTTTTAAAATCAGGAAAGATGTGTCAGAATTGTCTCCTTTCTCCATACCTATGCAATCTATATGCTGAACAGATCATGCTAGAAGCTGTACTACACGAAGAAGAATGTGGCATCAGGATTGGAGAAGACTGACTCATCAACAACCTGCATTATGCAAATAACACAGCTCTGCTAGCTGA